TTGGAAATTGCGCAAATTGCAATTCACAGTGAAGCCATTAACACCTTAACCAACTTCCTTCTAATGAACATCATGCTGGAGGTTAAACCAGCACCACACATAGCCAATGTGGAGCTCGAGTGAGCTTTGATAAACTTCGTTCTGGGCACTGTAGCAGGAAACTCGTACTTACCAAATACATATGTCATATGTGCAACGCTCACCCTTCCAACACAACCCCCTCTCTGTGGTCCGACCCCGTCAAAACAGCATATTGCCTGGGCTGACTGTTAGATGATTTCGAAGGTAACCAACTTGAACTTTACCTTCCAGTCTTTGGCAGTACAAGAATCCTGCATCATTTCGGTTAATTATACCCGACTGTCGTGGGAACGGTTGTTGTAACCGTGAATATTCTTCGTTCTGGATATTGTAGCAGGTTAAACTCCTACTTATCCAGAATTGACCCAGACATACCCAAAATATGTCATGCATGCAACGAGTCCTCGCATGATACTGGCCACCTCTTTGCATGCCCTACTAACTCTACTCATCTAACACCCTCTCCCTTTGGTCCGACCCCGACGAAATAGCACTTTTCCTGGGCCTCCCGTTAGATGATCTCGACGACAATGCATGTGACTCTTACCAACCAAACGGGGATTGGATAACCGTTAAAACAACAACAACAACACAGTGAATATTCACCCTTGATAACTATAAATAACAGTGATTTATTAACTCTTTAGATTTTTGACTATAAATTTTTATTAAAAATTAATGGCATATAAAGCAATATACGGTGCATAATAGAGCTCTTGGTATTCGATTAACCGGATTATCCCGACAGGGCATTATTCGAATTATAATATTCGATTTCCGAGTATCCGAATAGTCGTAAGTCATCGACTATTCGATTAACCGCTCATTTTCGACTAACCCGTAAACCGTTAGTTGTCGACTATTACATCGTAACATTGTGACTATTTGAATAGTATTAATCGGTTAATATTCATAGGAACGGTTACAAACCGGATATTCGAATAAACGGTTTACAGGTTTCAAACCGGTTATTCGAATAGTCCATACTTATGTTCCAAACCGGTTATTCGATTAATCTGTTTTCAGTTTCCAAACCGGATATTCGAATAATCGATTTCCAGGTTACAAACCGGTTATTCGATTATTGTTTTCAGTTTCCAAACCGGATATTCGAATAATCGATTTCCAGATTACAAACCGGTTATTCGAATAATCGATATTTATGTTACAAACCGCTTATTCGATTAATCTGTTTCCAGTTTACAAACCGTATATTCCAACAATCGCTTTACAGGTTACAAACCGGTTATTCGAATAATCGATATTTATTTTACAAAACGGATTACAGTTTTTTTAAAATAATTTTCTGCGCCCTAATATATACATATTTTCAAAAACATTATTTACAATATCACACATCATCAAACGGATACAAATTTTGAAGAAACGTGTAAAATTAGAAACTAAAATTGCAGCGTGTGAAATGTGCTTAAAAAATTTACAATAATATATCACAAAAATTTGACAACAGCTTTAGCAACTTACACAAACACATACATACTTATAAAACATTGATTAATCACAATTAAATTTCGCTCCACGTATACTCAAGTATATCGAGTTTCCTGTTTGCGCGTTGTGAATGAAATATCCAAGCAATGTTAATGACATAAAGATTGCCCAAATAATTCTTAAAACGCTCGGCAATCCACGCTTTCAATTTAACTTTATCGATTAAATTGATATTGACCAGCACATATTTGATGCTTTGAAAGTTGGACGCATTTACGTCCAGGCACTTGCCGCCAAAATACGTGAAAATCAATCTCGCCAAATTCGTTTGCTGATCTATGCTATAGAATGCAGCATTGCAATTTGTAAAATAATCGACGGATTCATCAAACAACAGGGTTTCAAGTTCGGCTAAATCGGCGGCGGATGACTGCGCGACAGCGATCTAAAAAGAGGCAAATTTCCAAATGAAGTTCAAACAAACAAAAGCGTTGATCGTTTAAAACTTACGTCTTTATCCCTTATGCCTTCTAGCACACGCATTAATTTGTCAACATTCGTGCACTGCCTGTATGAGTCACCATATTTATCGAATATTTTGGAGAATTCAGCTTCCAGCTCATCCGTCGTGCAAATCATGTCGATGGGCGTTAATTCCAGCTCTTGCTTTTCACACGTGTGCACCAGCCAGCTTAGTTTGGCAATGCTATAACGGCGCGATTTGCATAAAGTCGCCACACGAAATGTGATATCGCCCGCCACCGATATACATGTGGGGTCCTGTAAGGGATTTTCGACTATCTCGCCGCCATTGGTGACCACCAATGCCTTGAGCGCCTCAGGCGTGTAACCGGTTTTCAAGCTGGCGCTCAGTATGCAAAATGAGAAGCCTTCAAACAAATTTGAGCGCTGTTTTACCTGCGATGGAGTTTTTGTTACCAATTGTCTACGAGTATTTTGCTGTTTGTTTTTTTTGTTTTTACCTCAGCTGGATCGAAACGGCGTTCATAGGATAAAACACCCAATTTGCGGCGCTCGGCCGCAGTTAATTTACGCTTCTTTTGCGGCAATAACAAATCACTCAATTCCACTTGACGCTTGTGAATTTTCGTGAGACCACTTTCCCCCTAAGTACATATATAGAAATAATACTTTATATTTGTAGTTGTAATAGCAAAGCGCACGCACCTGTAACATTGTCATGTAATCGTGCAGCGAAAGACACTCGTACCACAGTTTGTCGTTGCGCCACATTTCTACGCGCGGAAAATGCAACGATTTAGACAAGGCGAAAGCCGAAGAAGGCGCTAAATCGGTTGCTCTGATTTGCAGTATAACGGAATTATTTGGTTCGATCCACACATCGGGCCGGCCGTCAGCACTGCTTTGCTTGTAATGATACCAGCTTGGTGGTGGCTCTCGTTTACAATCGTGCCAATGCTGTCTGAGTGTGTCATTCAATATTGCTCGCTGACGTGTTCGATTGTCCACTTTGCCGACGCTATAAATCTCGTATTGGGTTTCGGAGTTGTACTTGAGTACGCCAAGCAAGAAGGATTGTATGAATGTGCGCGTTTTATTGTAGAAACCACCAATGATTAGCAAATCAAATTCAGTGGTCAAGCCAGTGATGTACTGTTAAAAAAATTAATATAAACAACTCATTATATAGAACTCAAAACATATATGTATATATAGCAAATTACATCGGCCTTTATTTTGTACCAACCGCCACCGTTGCGTATGCCTGGTTGGTAGATGGAGTTTTGTTTTTTCAGCACTACCCCCTCCGCCTGCGCATCTAACGCTTGTTGAAAGAGCTCTTGAAACTGCGCTGCCGATGTTAATTTAATTGGACGCATTATTTGCAATATACCAGGCTCCTCCTTGCTTATTAGCTCAACGACTCTTTGACATCTCTGCACGTAAGGCATTTCAAGTAAACTGCTACCGTTATAATATAACACGTCATAGATCACGAAACAAGGTCTCCAATTTTGTCTGTTATTCAAATGCTTGACATCTGTATTTTCACCTTTGTCACGGTAGCATTTTCGCTGCATATCGTATACCATCATTTCGCCATCGAGAATTATTGATTGTAGATTATTCGGTAATAGTGATTGGAGTAATGGTGTCAATGATCCAGTCATAAAGTCTTCACCGAAACTATCAGTATAGTCTATGCCATTACGTGATATATATTTGAAACGCTGATTTTCGTAATGCAGTTGAAAACGTTCACCATCCATTTTGATCTCCAAATAAAGCACATCCTCAGCCATTAATTGCTCTAAACTGCCATGAAACATTTCGCATAGCATAGCTTTTATATGTTGAAACGGTTGTACGATGTTATTTAGGTTGAATGTGTTGATAGCATTTTTAGTTTCGTTTGGTTGGTCGTTTAAGGGTTCCTTACTTATTTCGTTGTTTGCCAGCAAACAGCAGACACGTTTCAAATCTGAGCAACGTCTAAGTAGATCTCTTGCTTGTGGATGTATGAGCGCAAAAATGCGTTGTTCGCCAATTCCCAGACGCAGGTTCTTTAGCAGTAAACGTACGAACCACATTTGCTCTGCCGACGTTGCTACCTCTGCTAGGGCGGTTAATACCTTTTTCGTGTCTACAGCGGAAAGTGAGTCAAATTGTAAAATTTTAGAAAGAAAATTAGTAGATTAAAAAATGCATATATTCACCCTGGCGATCACCCTCTGCTATGGTATCTAACATCTGATGCACATCATAAAGCGACAGTTCACTCATGCCTTTGCCATTATCGGCTCGCAGCAACAGCACTTCGTGCAAAATCTCTGCAAAGTCATTGCCAGAACCATTATATGTGCGCGCTTGTAAAAGCTTTGCATCGCGGGCTAATTGAATATATTGCAATCTTAATAGCTGTTAAAATATTAGAAATGCAATTGTCAATCATACAATCTTTATTTAGTTGTAGCACTTCTGTGTAGACACTACCAAGCGTACTGACTTGGAGTCCATATGCTTTACGCGACATATCCTCACGAGGTACTAAACATCTAAGGATGCAATAGAAACTGGTACCACCATCCTACAAAATAGAAAACAGACTTAAAGTAAACAAATGCTTGCTTAATGACATATAAGTAGGTACCTCTCGATCTGCTGCAGTGAGTCCCACTCGCTCACGGAATAATAACCGAAACTTTTGAAATGATTCGTAATAGTGGCGTACAAGCTTTTCTTTTGCAGCTGGACTTTGAGCCTTTTGTATTCTCTGTAGCATAGTACACGTTTCACAAAATTTGATATTTTTCGATATATCCATATTGTGAAATTACACTACGTTCACTCATTTAACCGTTCGTATGCACCACCCGTTTTGAAGCGACAAGAAAACAGCTGTTTATTGTTTATTAAATAGAGGTGGCAGTGTTCATTGCTCTATAGATGTGAGCCACTGATATATGTAGTTGTCTACAGAAAATAATCTGATTGGCACGTGTTGTATTGTAGTTGTTTTTTCTTTTCTATACATTTGTGATCGGTGGTGTCTGTCTGGATTTTAATTTACTAGACGTGGTTCTGAGGATTTTAGGGCGCAAGTGCGCAGCGCCCTAAAGGTATTGGTGTTTCTTTAACTAAATTTCATACACAACAGCAACAGAGAAAGATTAACATAAATATTGAAACAAACACGAAACATTACACACAACCAAATAAAATTACCATAATCACAGAAACTATTTACGTTTACATAATTTACAATAAAATTGAAGGTCACACCAAAAAGGAACAACATCCAAACCACTTCCGATGGCACCTGCAGCAGTCCTTGCTATACGCAGCGCAGCGCTTAAGTCCATGGATTTATTCCGCGAAATACACAAACGAGCGTTTAGTAATAAATTTTTACTGGTTACCAATGTCGGCATTTCGTTGAGCCTGAGTACGGCAGGCGATCTGTTGGAGCAACATTACGAAATGTATAGCGGCGATTTAAAGGAATGGGACAGAACACGTACTACTAATATGGGAATTTCTGGTATGGGTGTTGGCGTGATCTGTCACTATTGGTATAAGTTCCTAGATCGACGCATGCCAGGACGCACAATACGCGTGGTTATGCAGAAAATTGTTTTGGATCAATTTATTTGCTCACCACTTTACATATCCGCTTTTTTCATGACAATGGGCGCACTAGAAGACAAATCAATTGAAGACACTTGGCTAGAGATGAAACAAAAGGCATGGAAATTGTATGCGGCTGAATGGATGGTGTGGCCGCCGGCACAATTTGTGAACTTCTATTGGCTGCCCACACGATATCGTGTATTCTACGATAACATCATAAGTTTAGGCTATGACGTTTATACATCGCAAGTGAAAAACAATGATTAAAAAACCTACATGCATACTATATGTATGTTTATATAATTATAATGGAATTGTTATTTGAATCATATGTGACAATATAAATGTTAATACCAAGCAAATGAGGCGTTAAGCAATCGTGAGCTGTGAAAACTCTCAGTGGATTTGTATATGTATGTAGGTATATATTTCAGCTTTTCTCTACATAATATAAAATGTACACTTTTGTGTTTTATAAACAAAAAAAATAAATAAATAAATAAATACTTTTTTGCAGAAAAGCATCAGAGCTTCCGCTTTTTAATTGAAAAGAAAAGAAATCTCTGCATCACCCTATGGGCGTATGGGAAAGTGAAAAGAATTAAATGCCTTCAATAAAATTTTCATTTTGTTATTTAACTTGAGAAAGTTTTTACGTGTGAGCAAAACAAATTGTAAAATCCGTTTATGTCTTTTATTTATCGGCTTTCAAAAATCGCTTTTGGCAAGAAATATTTGTTTTACACTAACACCGGAATATCATTTATATTAAGTGGAGTTGCGGACATCATCGATCAAAACTACGAAAAGTATTCGGGTAAACGTAAAGAATGGAGTCCTAGGCGTACTTTCAGCATGTGTATAGCTGGTCTATGTAGCGGTGTTGTGTGTCACCACTGGTACATATATCTTGATAAACGTCTGCAAACCAGAAATTTCAAAACTGTGATGCTGAAAATTGTATTAGATGAATTGATTTGTTCACCAGTCTACTTGACGGTCTTCTTCACAACGTTAGGTTTCATGGAGGGCCATACTATTAAACATTCTTTACAAGAATTGCGGAATAAAATGTGGAAAATATATCGATTTGAGTGGATGCTGTGGCCACCTGCGCAATTTATAAATTTTTATTTTCTTCCGACACAAGTACGTGTTCTGTACGTTTATATGATCAGTTTAATACACATAACATACACGGCACATGTTACACATGACGGTGATTAATAAGACTATGATAAAATACCAAAAAAATAAGGGTAAAGAATGAACATTCCCACAGCAAGAGCAGTTCTTAACAAATAGTACAATATTATTATTTTTAAAATAAAGCTATTTTGTATACGATAGTTAATGAAAGTTTATTAATTTGTTTCCAAGTGCGCTTATAACATCGAATAATTCATTTCAATATAAGACGCGTATATACCATAATTTTAGCCAATGGGCAAACTTTGAAGTGATGCGTGCTTCTAAAATAAACTTCAATTTCGATACAACTAGTTTTTCCTATTCCCTCGCCGGCGCATAGATGCTGTACATTTAGGACAATACCACTTGCCTTTTGGTGGTTGTGTTATACCCACACATGGGTAATGGAACCATTCGTATGGGCAAGCATCGTTGTCGCAAGCGACCATGTCACCATATGAAACTTGATTACAGGTACAGTAACGTGGTTCATTTGGATCGTACGACCATTCTCCCTCTGGTGTTTGCTCTACCACTAGACCGCTTTCATTAATATTAATGTTAGTGGCAGGCGTAAGAGTGTTGGATGTGATCGAAGATGTAGACGAGTTGGCACGATTCGTGGCTGCTGCGGCAGATGTTGAAGCCGCACCCACTCCAATTGTTGACAAGCCAATAGCGGGCACACCAAGACTGCCAACTGTTGCTAAATTAGACGAAGTTGGCAACATGTCTACAGAGTCTACACTCACAGAGGACGACGACGATGCCAGCGATATGGCAGATGAAGGAGCACTGCTGCTACCAGCGCTGTTAGTATGCGTAATACTGTTGGCATTTATTTTTCTGTAATGAACGTGGACTTAAATTAAAATTTTGTGATTTTTATATATATATATATAACACACTTTTTCTGTTTTTTCTCAACCCCTGTCGTTTGGAGTGTTGTCTGTGCAGCTGCGCTCGCAGCAGTTGCAATATCACGACTGATCCAAAATTCGGGCGGACCACCACCAGCGCCGTGTATTGCTTCATAACTGGCTTTAAGGCTCGCCGTACGTCGACCTTGAGGCATTTGTTGTGTTGCCACTATGGCTTGACTGGCAGCTGCAGCGATTGCGTTCGATGCCGAGCCACCTAATTGTTGTAAATTATAAGCTACAGCAGTGGGATTGCCTGCAGATGCCACTGATGCGCCCGGCGTATTCAGCACCGCATGTGTGCTTATGCCTGGTGTTATAGGACGAACTACCGCAACCGGTGGTGTATTGGTTGTTAAATTGTTTCCTAAATTTGGACGTTTCTCCGGTAGAAGCGCCAAGTTTGTTGTACTGTCCCTGCGTTTTTCCGGTTTGGGCGTACGATACCGATCTTTTGTAGCTGTCGTTGGTGTAGTCGAAAGTGATAAACCACTTATGTTACTACTAGGTACTCCCAGTATACCATGGCTATTTGTTGTTGCCGCTGTCCCTATCGATCCATAATATCTATTCTCTTTTTGTGTAACACCAATCACATTCATCAATGCCGTGGCTGCACTTGAACCACCATCTAACTCTAATGAACGCTTCTCTAGTATTTCTGTTATACCATTATTATCGGCTTCCAGTTCACACTTAAACTTGAATAGTTCACTGTCCAAGCGGCGTAGGTAACGCTCCACTAAGTCATGTATTTGTGTGGCAATGTTAACTTTTTCATCAGCGTCTTCCAAAACTTTGTAGTATTCTTTACGAAGATTTTGAAACTCTGAATCCGCTGGTTCGTTTTGTAATTCTCCACGTTTGCATTGTTGAAAAAATGTTCGATTTTTTTTCTCCAAAGAATCCATGCTATCTGCGAAAAAAAAACTATTACTTTGAGTTCTCTAATAAATGTATAAATAAATTATTATTACTCTGCACTGTTAAATCCAGTTCACGCATCTCTGTAAATCTGTCCCGTAGCTCCTGTGGCAAGTGCTCGATCACTAGATTAGTAAAAATTTTAGTAAGAATATTACTACTTTTGTTTACTAATGTTGAGGGTGCAGCACAACCAAATACCAAATATAAACAAAACATCAAAATAAACAAAATTTGGAAAATCCATAACCTCTAAATTTGTTTTACTGTATCATTAGTACACCGTGGTCTTTTAATTCGTATTGCGATAACAAACTTACTTTCCAGATAATCTTCAAGATACAGCATGCCTGCAGATTATTTATATATGTGTTTGAGGAAATGAGTACAACTTTTATTAACAAATTGTATTTTGATATCAATACAACCAGGGATAATTTATAAATCAGCAAAAACAGCTTTTCCAACAAAACTGTCAAAAGGAAAACATGACATTTTACAGGGTTGCGTTTTTGGAAAATACCAACGCTAGTGTTGTAAATGGTCTTAAATATAAAATGTGTTAATTTAATACGAAGATATCTTAAAATGTGTCTTTGTAAATGTACTTAAGCACTGATTAGGGCGCATGCAGTTTTTTAATGCTAGGAAATCCTTTTAACAAAAATAATTTTAAAAACTTTCTTAATAAATTAAAATTTGATGAAAAAGCGATTAACACTTTTCTCTAATAAATTGTATTCTATACTGTGCGTTTATTACATGAGAAATTTTGTTGCAACCCTGTAAACCGATTCAATTTCTTTTAATGGTAATTCAGCATTTTATAAACAAGTGGCAAGTATCAACGCGGTTTGTATCCCAACAACACTAATAACAAAACAAATAAATATAACAAAGTCAGAAAATTGAATTGGCGAAAGGATAATTCACAAAACACAAACAATATTTCGTAGGACTCTAGGAGAAGTGTTTTTAAGCTGCTCGGGTATTCCTTCGTACGGGTGTTTATACGAAATCGTTATCGTTGTTGTCTCTGAGCATTCGGTTGTGAATGTTCATTGCGCGAAGACGGTGTTGAAAAATAGTTGGTATTTTTGTGAAATAAATTGGAAACACTTAATATTATGTTTTCTTATTGTGAAAGTGTTGTATACAAACGTTAATAAGTGTTTTGTTCGAAATATATATACATACGTGAAAAGAAGTTGAGTGAAAAGTTATGTATAGATAACTTGAAGTTTGGTTTTCCGTAGACGTAAATTTATTGAATTTCGAATTAGCATTTTCCTCATTCTGGCCAATTTGAATTTTGTTGTGCTTTAGTGCTTCAATTTAACAACAATATCGTACAAAATTTTACTTACGGCAGCTTTTAAATAAATTATGTCCAAAGTGTTGACTCAACAAAATGTCCTGCCTACACAGCAGCCCAAAAAAATTGAAAATCATAAAAAAACCACACCCACTGTACAAATGCTCAGTAGCATGAGAGGCACATCCGCCAATTCCGTGGTTTGTTCCTCGGAGTCTCCATCCACCTCTTCATCGCCCATTACAATTGATTGCGACGATTTTACCAGCAGTTCTATATTGGAGTTTCTAGCAAGGGAACAAGAATGTTGCACTGAGGCAGACACAGAAAGTATTTTTCAAGAAGTAAGTCGATTGGCTGATAATTCAGACACCCGTAGTGTGGACGAAATTTTGCGTGAAGCTGAACGTCTAATGCAACAGCAGTCGATCTTCGGATGCACAGATAGAGCTGCGCAATGTAAACAACTGAAAGTAAGTGTAGGCAACAAATCAAAAAGCCATCAACTAAATCAATCACAGCCAAATACAGCAGTACATCAACAAATTCAACAACCCGCATTTGCAACACAAAATATCAAGTTAAATAGCAAGTATACAAAACGTATCGAAAATGTTAGTCCAATGCCGAAGCAAATGCAAACTGTGCCGCATAAAAGACTGACGAACGGTAATTGTACACATAAGGAAAAAATGAAATTACAAAAAAACGAATTGGAATACAGTGTACTTGCAACGGCGGATGCTACACTTACAGCTACAAACACGCCACAGACACCAACTGCCGCCACGCCAAATGGAAACCAACGCTTTGATGCTTTTGTCGACAATTTACCATCGGTGTCTGTCATCTCTGAAGAGTCTACACCGAAGGATATGCAAACCATGATGTCCACAGATGCCGATGTTACTACAATGGCGTTGCTAAACGGCGACGACGATGATACTGACACGGTGAGTGGGGGGCGCCTTTACGCAAGCACATCCTCAACCGCCTAATGAAGCGACAAATC